ATGGTTTATTTATTAAGCACAGGTGCTTAATACATATTTATTGTATAAATGAATACTAATATAAGAGCTAGGCCAAAAATATTCTCAACAGGGAAGGAATAAGAATACAATGAGTTTGAAAATGGAAATATGATGGTTTGGAATTAAATTGCAATATCTTACATAGTTTCAAAGGAGAAGTAAGAGCAGTCTGTTGGAAAGAGAACTAATCTCAGATCCCCAAAGACCTAGATGCAAGGTCAGCCTCAATAGTCACATCTGGTTACTCCTATACCGCCAAAGGAATCCTCAGTATATCATGCCTTAAGAAGTAGATATCAAAGGGCAGCTAGGTGGTTCAGTGGATAGAGCTCTGGCCTTGGAGTCAGGAGGACCTGAGTTCAAATCTGGCCTCAGACGCTTGACACTTACTAGCTGTGTGACCCTGGGCAAGTTACTTAATCCAGACTGCCTCAACAAAAAGCAAAAAATAAAAAATAAAACTGAAAAATAAAAAAAAAGAAGTGGTTATCAAGCCTCTTCTTGAAGGACTTTGATGAGGTAGATTCCACTACTCCATGAGGTAGACCATCCTACTTTTGAACAGCTCTAAGTGTCAGGAAGTTTTTCCTAACAACTTCCTATAATTGTTCCTGGGTATACACACTGGAATCAAGTAGAACAAGTCTTCCACCTGACTGATGTTTAAACACTTGAAGAAAATTTTCTCATGTACCATGACAAGCCTCTCATGGGACTTGGGAGGAAGCATGGCACAATGGAAATAGCGTTGATAATGGAGTCAAAGGCCCAGGGTCCAAATCCTATCTCTGCCAAATATTACCTATATGACCTTGCACAAACTCTTAGTTTCCATGAACTTTAGTTTCCTCATGTATTAAAATGAAACAATTGGATTAGATAGATTCTGAGGTCCCTTCTCTAGGATCCTATGAGTCTTCTTTTTTCCAGGCTTAACATCCTAAGTTCTTTCAAGTGATCCTTAAATAGCATGGACTGAAAGCCCTTCACCTCCTCTGGATGTTTTCCAGAGTCCCTCAAAGTGGTGCCCTTCAAAGACAATTATAATTTTCTCCCTAAGTCTTCTCTTCTCCATGCTCCAGGAATATCTCAGTTCTATCAACCAGTCTTCATAAAGCATGGCCTGCAGTCCCTTCACCCTCCAAGACATATTTCTACGAAAGATTTCTAGCAAGGCAATACCTTCCTAAAATGAACTGAAGAAAGATGTGGTCGACCAAAGTCAAATATATCAGAATTCTCACCTTGCTCAGTTTGGATACTACATTTCTCTGAATTCAACCTAAGATCATACTTTTTTTTTTTTGGCTGCTAGATCATAATGATAACTCATATTAAGCTTTCAATCCAATAAAATCAAACTGCCGGATCTCTTTCACATTACAAACAATAACATTTCATCAAGAAAACACTAAAATAAAAGTAACAGACAAGTATCCTGTTGTTCATTTCACTTCTTCCCTCTTTTTTATCCTAGAGAGGGGTTGAGGTAAGGAGAAAAAACGAAAAGTGGAATATATGGTTGTTTTATATGGTTTATGTTTCAGAGTTATTATTGCCTCACTTATACTCTTCTAACTTACAAGGGCATTTGCTTCATATTGAACAGTTAAGCAAATTTGCAATCATATATCCTCATAGGAAATAGTTTATTTTATTTCCTATTTTTGACACCTTTTCTTAAGGATGTTTTATTTTATATATGTATAAAATGTATTTCCAGATTTGATCTCACATGCAATGTTAATGCAAGCATTTTGTAAGTGAGATTAAACAAGTCTTAATTCAGACCTCAATGAGGCAAACTCAGAAAAAGAAAGTCAAAAGGATTTTATTTAGCACCTGCACCCCAAGGCAACAGGTACAGGGAAAGTTGTGTGTCACTGGCCCTGAATTCAGAATTCCAACTGCAGGGTCTGCTTTTATAGAAAGGAGTAAATAAACTTCCATAAAAGAAAAGACAGTACTGATTTCTAAATGCTTTCAATGAGGAGACAAGGAGGACAAGGGGTCAGTGCTTCCCCAGCTCTTCCTCATCACGGTATCATAGACAGATGGGATTAGTGCAAATTCCTGAGGGTATTTTACAGACTGCCATCTCCTGCAGGCTGTTTGTATAAGGACCCAAAGTGTAAAGTTCATGGAATCACTCAGACTACACCAGTGTCTGACTTTGCATGGTGACTATCATGATTTTTTAAAATTAATTATATTGGTTTCTTTTGTTTTTATATCACCTGTATGTCCCAATGTAACAATCTTTCTTCCTCCCGCAGAGCTATCCATTACATCAAAGAATAAAAAGGAGGAAAAAAACAGTTCAGCAAAATTAACCAAGATATTGAAAATACATGAAATTTTCTGTAGTTTTACACATATATCCATAGTCCCCTATGTCTTTATAGGCACACTGCATTCAGTCTCTGATATTTTCTGTTGTTGTTGTTATTCTTTCCATTCACATGATCATAGTCATTGCTCATATTGTTTTCCTAGTTTTGCTTACTTCACTTTGCATCAGTTCATACATCTTCCTGTGCTTCTCTGTATTCATCATGCTCACTGTTTCTTAGAGTACAGTAATACTCCATTACATTCATGTATTGCAACTTATTTGGCCATTTCCCATTCAATAGGCATCTACCTTTTCCCCAGTTCCCTGATATTGAAAAAGGGCTGCTATAAATATTTTGGTATATATTGGGCCTTTTTAAATTTTTTTTAATTTAATTTAATTTTTTTTTTTTACCATTAACCTCCTTTTACCTGAAGTCTCCCCCTTCTTTTGTGGTTTAAGTATATATAGGTCTCATGCAAATGCACTTTGGGCAATTAGGTGGCACAATGGACAGAGTGTGGGCCCTAGAATCAGGAGGACCTAAATTCAAAACCAGCCTCAGACACTTACTAGCTATACATGACCCTGGGCAAGGCACTTAGGTCATTTGCTTTTGTTTCCTCATCTGTAAAATCGCTGGAGAAGGAAATGGCAAACAACTCCAGTATCTTTGCCCAGGAAATCCCAAATAGGGTCACAAAGAGTCAAACATGACTGAAAACAACTGAACAACAACAAAACTCACTTTGGAGAGTCTCTGCCCTGGTAAGTAAGGCTCCCTTGCTGGCAAAATCAATAACTAGGGTCTCCAGAGTATTTTTTTGTCACCCACATAATATCAACATTTTAGTCACTTCCATTGCATGAATGCAAATTGCTTTCCAGAGCAGCTGGACCAATTCACAGCTCCACCAACAGTGCATTAGTGTCTCTATCTTTCTAGGACATTCAAATACTGTCTATTCCCATCTTTTGTAATTTTTGACGATTTCCTGGGTATGAGGTAGAACCTGAGGTTTGTTTTGATTTGTCGTGCTGTATGATATATTAGTAGTAGTAGTGATTTGGAATACTCTTCCATATGGTTCTTAATTTCAAATCTACTGTTCAAAAATTTAGCTAGTGAGTGAATTCTTAAACAACCGATAGAGTTGATCTCTCTCTCACACACACACACACACACACACACACACACACACACACACACACAGATCATTTTAACCAAATGAAGTGACATTTTTATAGTGTTCTTTTCCTTTAAAAATAAAAAAAAAACCTCCTTAGAAACAACTGGATTAATTAAAAGGGAAAATGTTGAAGCAACAACGATTTAGCTACATACTGAAAAGAATAAAAATCTCAAAAGGACATTTCACTTAGCAATAGGGAGTTCAGACAGCAACTAGGAAATCCCCACAAAGTACTGTGAATTCTCCAAAGAAAAGAGCCTTCTGTGATGGGAAGTCTTAAGCAGCAGGGCCTTCCTATACCAATCCTGTAAAGTCTTTGAAGCTGGATATTTACATCTAAATAAGGCAAGTCTTTTATCTGTTTCTCTGCTGGTAGTCTTTCAAAGGGACAAATGGAGTTTCCTAACTACACCTCAGCTAGTCAGACAGACTTATGGCATGTCTCAGTTCAAAAATAGAACTAGACAAAAAATTCATGATACCATCTTAGTAATCAATATATCTTCCAGAAAATACAGCAGCCCCTATGTATTGAGCCAACTTGAATCCTTACGTTGTAAACTCTCTTCATTATAATAAGACTGAGCAGAGAGGTAAATCTTAGATTTGCAATGCTTAAAGTAAATCAGATTTTAAAAATTCTAAAAAAAATAATTTAATGATTTTATTAACTTAGTTACAGTGGTGAGGAATCTACAGCCTTGAGGTCACATGTTCCCAAGTGCTGCCCTTTGCCTGAATCCAAATATAGATTCTGACTAGAATTTGTAATACACTAACGTGCTACAAGATTCATGGTAGGACTTCCAACAATATGTCCATGGCTCCTACATTTTAAATCTTCTAGTAATGAGATTTTGTTAGCAAAATCAGACGTGGTATAGGAATAAGTGAAGAGTTGTCCTGACTTGGAGTTAGGAAAATGTGGGTATATCACTTAATTTCTCAGTACCCTCAAGCAATTCTATATAAGGTGCAAAACAGTTACCCATCTGTATCAGTGGAGGAAGTTTCCATATTGGGAGTCCACCTGACACATGAAAGCAAAGATACAGACCAAAATAAATAAATGCAAATAGTAGAAGAATGAATCTCATCCACTGTTGGTTCTCTGAAACAAGGTATTTGAGTCATGGATTTTCTGAACTATAAGTAGCCTTAGACATCACCTAGTTAAACCCCCACCTTAAGATCCAGCAAACTTGGGGTGACTTCTCAAACAGCAAACAAGTAGACTAACTTTGATACTATAAACCTAGTTTCACAAAAGGTATTGCTAAGTGCCTGCATAAAAGGCTACTACAGAGACTACCACTGTTGAGAAATCTACATTTAGCCCAGTTCCAGTGAGAATCTAAACGAATACCATGACTGAGTAAATTCAGTACCATTATTTCAAAACAAAAATTGGTAGCATATTCTAACTACATTTAACTACAACTGCCTCTTACCTGAACAGAAGTCATCAGAATATCTATCATAGACTGATCTACAATTTCTTTCATCACATTCACAGGTGTCCCCATGAATGTCTCCCCAGTCTCCTGTTGGGTCCACATCATGGCAAGAGCATTCACCACACACACATGTTCCTGTGGAGGAAAAAACAAAACAAAACATGGTATGTATTAGTCTGTAGATGAACTTAACCAATAAAATGAAATAGTTGATTTTTTTTTAAAGTTGGTTGCTTTGTATATGTGGATTACAAGGACAAGGCAATATCTTCTCATTAAGAGAAACAATTCCAATAAGGAGGAAAAAGAAGAGTTATCTGAAGAAACCAAGATGTGTGCTCAGAGAACTCACTACTGATTTAAAGAATAAAAATATAAAAACAAAACATAGAAGCAATGATAACTAACAGAGTATGGATACAAAGGTGTAGCATGCTCAGGAATACTAGGTTGAAATATGCTCAACATGGCTAAGAACAACAACAAAGAGGCTGTTGAGGTTTTTTTGTTTGTTTTTAAGTTCTGTTGTGGAAAAGAGAAGGATCAAAGAAGGTAGAAGCCTAACATTCAGGAGGGATGAGACAAATCACCTAGCACAGATGGACCTTGGATACTGAAAGAAGCCTTGAATATTGAAAGAATTGGTAGATATGTATCATGAGCTCTGGCTTTCTACATGATATATGAAAGATCCTGGAGCTCAGAAGTATCTCAAGACTAGAGAAGGTAAAAATTCTTTTTTTTTTTTTTTTTAAGAACAGAATAGAAACCAAGAAGCAAACATTATCTGTAATGGGGATAAACTAGAAGCCGTCCCAAAAAGATCAGGGTCGTGAGTTATAGACATCCATTATTGCCATTATTATTCGATATTGTACTAGAAATTCTAGCTATAGCAATGAAACAAGAAAAAGAAATTGAAGAAATAAGTATAGGCAATGAAGAAACAAAACTATCACTCATTGCAAATGATATGATGGCATACTTAGAGAACCATACAGAGTCAACTGAAAAACTAATCAAAACAATAAACAACTTTAGCACAGTTGCAGGATATAAAATAGACCTATACAAATCATTAGAATTTCTACATATTACCAACAAAACCAAGCGGGAAGAGATCGAAAGAAAAAATTCACTTAAAATAACTACTGACAGTATAAAATACTTGGGAGTCTATTTGCTAAGACACACATGAACTATATGAACACAATTATAAAGCATTCATCACACAAAGACAAATCTAGATATTTGAAGAAATATTAATTGCTCATGGGTAGGCCAAGTCAGTATATAAAAATGAAAATACTACCTACATTGATTTACTTATTAAGTGTCATACCAATGAAACTATGAAAGAATTACTTTATTGAGCTAGGAAAATAATAACAAAATTGATCTGGAATAACAAAAAGTCAAGACTATCAAGGGATTCAATTAAAAATGTAGTAGTGTCAATGGAAAAGACTAGGTACACAATATACAGAAACAAATCAGGGGAGTAGCTTAGTATTTGATAAATCCAAAGATCAGAACTATGGGTGCAAGAACTTACTATTTGACAAAAATGATGGGAAATTTGGAAAGTAATCTGGCAAAAACTAGGCATAAACCAACATCTCACATCATATATCAAGAAAAGCTTAAAATAAATCTTAAAATGATTTAAACATAAAGGGTGATATCATAAGCAAATTTAGGGAGCATAGAAGTTACCTGTCAGATCAATGGATGGGAAAGAGTTCATGAACAAACAAGAAAAAGAGAGGATCAGAGGAGGTAAAAATGGATAATTTTGTTTACATAAATCTTAAAAGTTTTTGTCCAAACAAAACTCATGTAGGCAAAAATAGAATAAAAGCAGGAAACTAGGGGGAAATTTTCAGCAAATTTCTCTGATAAAGGGCTCATTTCTCAAATATGTAGAAAACTAGCCAAATTTCTAAAAACAGGAGCCATTCCCCAATTGAGAGCCAAAGCTTATGAACAAGCAATTTTTAGAGGAGGAAATCAAAGATATCAATAGTCATATGAAAAAAATGTTCTAAATCACTAATAATTATAGAACTGAAAATTTAAAAAACACTGTGGTACCACTTCATACCCATCAGATTAGCTAACATTGCAGAAAAGAAAACTGACAAATGCTACAGAGGATGTGGGATAATAGGCACACTAATGTACCATTGGTGGAGTTGTGAGCTAGTCCAATTATTCTGGAGAACAATTTGTAACCATGCCCAAAGGGCTATAAAAGCTATACCTACCCTTTGACTTAGCAATAACACTGTTAGGTCTATACTATTAGGTCAAAGGAAAAGGAAAAGAATGCATGTATAAAAGTATTAGTAATAGCTCTTTTTGTGGTGGCAAAGAATTTTGGAAACTGAGAGAATGCCCATTAATTGAGGAACGGCTGAAAAGTTTCTGGTATATTAATGTGATGGAATACCATTGCACTGCAAGAAATGATAAAGAGGATGTTTTCAGAAAAACCTGGGAGGTCTTACATAAATTGATACAAAGTGAAGTGAGTAGAACCAGGAGAATAATCTACAGAGCAACAGCAATATTGTAAAGGTAATCAACTGTGAAAGACTCAGTAACTCTGATCAATATAATGATCCACCACAACTCCAAAGAACACTTGACATAAAATGCTGTGCAACTCCAGATAGAAAACTGACAACAGAATCAGCATACAGATCGAAGCATATTTTTCCTGATTTCTTTTCAGAACATGTGGAAATATGCTTTGCATGACTACAAATACATAATGGGTACTGTATTTCTTACCTTCTCAATGGGTGGGGAAGGGCTAAAGGAAATAGAGATTTTGGAATTGAAAATACAAATAAAATTTAATTTAAAAAAAAACAAGAAAAATAATAGAAAAGAGTCTATGGGCAATTGACCTTGAATTCCTCTTTTGGCAAAACACTAAAAAGAATTATTCACAAAGAAGTAGCATGATTTTAGCAAGAACATGTCATTCTAAATTAACTTGATTTCCTTTTTTCAAATCAGGTTACTAAGTTGGTAGATCAGGGCAATGTTGTCAATATAGCTTGCCTAGACTTTAGTAAAGCATTCAATAAAGTATCCTCTTCCCTTCTTGTGAAAAAGATGGAGAGATGTGAGATAGATAATACAATTAGACAGATTTAGAATGAAGTTGATTATTGAACTCCAAAACTTGTCATTAATAGTTTAATATTAAATTGAAAGGTCTCCAGGGGAAAGCCCCAGGGATGTATAGCTGGACTGGTAATGGTTAACAGAATAGCATTAAGTAGCTTCACAGATTTAGAGCTGAAAGGGACATTAGAGTCATTTAGTCTAGCCCCTCATTTTACCATTAAAGAAACTGAGGCCTAGAGAAGTAAAGGGACTTACCCAACACTTTTATCACTGCCTTACATGGAGTAATAGAAAGGATCTTTGTCAAATTTGCAGATGGCACAAAGCCACACAATGGATGAAGAGGTCAGAGTCCCAAAAAACCTTGACAGGCTAAAACATTGCACTGAATCAAAGAATATGAAATATAACAGACATTCATGTAAAGTTTCACCCTCTTCTTTCACTTATTAGTTCTATAAATACCAAATAAATGTGAAGGTGGAAAACAATTAGTTTAAATTCTAGGGCAGAGATTAAAACACTTGTGTTCTGTATATATACACTGGCATATAGTCCAGGGGTGGGGAACCTGCAGCCTCAAGGCTATGTGTGGATTCGAGGCCGCAGTTTGCCCACCTCTGCTATAATCACTAAAATGATACAAGGCAAATAAATAGAGTAAAAAGGAATGATCAAGCTCATGGGACAGCTGAAGCACAGCAGAAAGTATAACTGTTTTGGAGTCAGTAGTCCGGTTCAGATCCCAACTCTGCCACTTATTCATTGTTTCCTAAGCACCAGCTTTGTGGAAAGTATTCATACATGCCTCATCTTGGAGACCCACTTCATATCTGGTCTCCAGTCACATAATAAAGCCAGTGGAAGAGGAAACTGACATCATTATACCTGCCTGTTCTCCTGCAAAATGGTCTTTCTCTCTTCTACAACCTTTAATCCTCTGCTCTAGGACAGTACTTCTCATGTCCTTCCTCCATCAAGTATAATTCCTTCTCTCCATTCTCACTGGCAGGTGCCATGTTGGTTAGGCTCAGCAACACCATTATTCAAGCATTAGGAATCATCTATATATAGTGATGATATGCTGTTATATAGCCTAAGAAAAACTTAGGCAGGAAACATGCCTTTAGCCATAGAAACAAAAGGTGACTTCTTTCACAGGTGAAATCCAGATGGAAAAAAAATTCTGCATAATATTAAATGGAGCATTGTGTGTATGTGTGTGTGTTTTATCCAAGTTTCATGCCTTGTGCAGATAACATTTTCATTTGTCTTGCTACAGCAAAATGTGTTACCTGTTTTTTCTTCTGGGTCTATACCATGAGAGAAACCAAGTACTGGAGCCTTGCCATCTACCCTGCAGATATACCCTGGACTTTTCTATCCTCCTTGCAGCCAAACTCTCTTTCATGTATTGTCTCCCTCAATTAGTATGGGAAGTCCTTGAGAGCAGAGGCTACCTCACTTTTTCTATCTGTACCCATAGGGCTTTGCACAGTGCTTAAATGCTTTTCATACTCTTCTTCTTTAATGTGCTATATGCCAAATGTATCCACTTATATATTCTTTAGGTAGATAGATGTTTCCTGCTCTGTTGTGCTCTATTGTTTTTCTTAACTTCAGATGATAAAATATCACCATTTTAATGATGGCAGAATGAGGGAAAAGAAGTGTAAAGTGTGTCAGTCCTCCCTAGGTGCATGGCAGGCAGAGGAATGAGATGACAATGACTATAGGCAAAGATGTTCCCAAATGTTCCATCCAATATCCTGCAGAAATCTGCATCTAGATGAGTTCACTTTCCATAACTTGCCTTTCATTTCTAATAATATGTAAAGAAATATTTCTTACCCAAGACCTTTCTAACTTCATTTGCTAAAATAACACCAATATGATGGGAACCTAATATTTAACTTGACTTGCTATGTTTCTCTCTATACATTTATATGACATTCAAGATCTCATTTTCACTGTTGAGATCTAGAAGTGAAATCAGTCTACATCCATTCTGGATACAACACAAGCTTTCAATCTCCCCATAATTAAGAGGAGAGCATTTTCTAAATGTTCTCAGGATAATTAGATGCTCATGCTATAGAAGACTTTGTTAGTCAAGCAACATTTAAACATAAGTAGCTCCATGAATTGCCTTTGAATTGTACTGTGCCAGTTCTGGACAGTGGCCAAAGAAATTATTGTCCCCATTAACTGTTTGTTCAGTGAAGCTAAGATAGTGAAAGGAAGTTTCTGATCTCTGTGTTGTTTTTTCGTCAAATTGAAAAAAAAAATCTGAAAATTATATTCAGACTATATGTTGATTTGTATCACACATAATGACTTAAAAGCAGACATCCTCATGAAAGGAAATGTGGGGGGAGGGGTGAGAGAGACAAGTATCATCAGCAATTACTGGCTTTGTTTTCATCTCTGTAGTAGAGTACATGAACGACACACCTCTGTTACTGCAGATTTTGCCATCTGGAGATGTACATCTTCTCTTGCTCTCCCAGGGGGTGATGTCACACTGGAATTCACATTTATCTCCATGCCAACCAGCCTCACAGTAACAGTTTCCACAGTAACACTTTCCATGGCCTTTACCCAAAATGAATTTTATACAGTGAGGAGGAAAAAAAAAGAAAACAACTTTTAAAAGCAGAATTAACATCCTAGCCATTTGTGACATATATATGTATGTACATACATATATATGTATATATGGCATTATAAAATAATATCTATAGCTTCCCAGTTAAAGCAGTTTATTTCCTGACAATGGAACATGTGCCAACACACCATGGCCTCATCTATAGCTCCCAAATCAAGTGGAAAATGGAGGCAATCATGTATGGAGATGATTCAAGCCCAAAACCCTTTTCACCTCATGTATTCAGATAATTGAAGTATTAAAAAATAAATACAAGTAACAGAAAATCAAACAGAAAATTATGAAAATTATTCTGTCTTTAGACTTAAAATTACCATACCAAATTAAATGATTCCTGAAGTATTTTCTTATTTGGCATTTCTTCAAGTGACCCTTGAAACAAGTGTCTACCAGCAATGATTTTGGAAACAAATAAAATGGTTCAAACTGTATTCATAGACATATTATTAGTGACCAGACCGTTCTGAGCCGGTGAGGGTTTTACTTAGCTGGTCTGGACAGTGTTCCATAATGTTGAAAAATGGTTTTCATTCAAAGGTTAGTGCTCGTTTCAACCCCTGTGGACTCTTGCTCCCATTTGTATATTTTATATTAAAAACAAGATTAACTGGTGACAAAAAGATTCCATATCGACGGGCCCATCTCCACTCAGGTGTCCAAGCTCAGCATGTTGTAATACAAAGAAAAGGAGCCCTGTCAGTTACTACCTGAATAAACTTTTAAAATCTATCTCTCTAGGCCTATCTGTAGAATTAAGAAATTGAACAACTTCCTTGGGACTGCCAAGATCCCTTTCCATGTCCATGATCCTATTAATGTGAACCTCACTTTTAATTTCTGTTCAGCTTCCCCCAAATTCCTTAATGCCCAAGCAACCTTTCACTAATTTTCCTTTTCATACTTCTATGATTCTCTTCTGCTTTTAACTCCCCCAACCAAGACTGTTGCTTCTTCCCACCAGACTTTTTCTACACATTTCTACATAGAGGTAGCCAGACCTCTAGTCCTCCTTTGGACTTTATTAGAAGATATTGGTATAACTGTTTTTCTAGAATTTGAATTTTTCTTCTTATAAATGTGATGGCAATTTTGGAAGGGTTTGTCAACCTTTTTTGAACTCCTTTTTATCATATAGTCCGCATTTTTTAAAGTTGTTTACATGTGGTCTCTATCCTTCTCTCTCCTTCCATCTTCTGTCAACCCCTTTGTAAAACCAACAAAAGCTCAGGGCTGAGAGTAAACTACTTGTAAAACCATTTAAAATTCTATACTATAACAGCTTGGACAGGTGGTGGGAGAGCAGATGGAGAATGTGGAGGTTGGGTAGGAAGTGGGAGATAGGACAAGGTTGGGGTCCAGGACATCCCTGTCGGCAAGACTCCTATTAATCAGACAGCATGCCTGCCAATGGGAGGGAAAAGCCCAGCAAACACACCATTTTGTCAGTCTAAATGAGAACTAATCATGAGTTGGCTGCAATCCTTTTATGAACATATATAACAAAACAGCATATCGGGTGAAAACATTATTTAAGTAGAAGAGTCAAGGTGAAGGCTACAATGGTAGCATATCAATAAGAACTGAATACAAAATCAAAGCCCATCATTCATGAACCTGAAAAAATTACAAACACCCATATATACAAACAGTAATAAAATTTATAATAAAATTTAATTATACATTGTTTATATTATAATTTATATTGCTAGAATGCATGAGCCAAATGCTAAATAATTACCAATGACACAAACCAAAAGGAAATTATATATTTACATGTAAAAATACACATCTACATCTTACTAGTTATCAATCAGACAAATATACTCAAGTATAAGTAGACTGCTATTGCCCCCCAGACATTTTTGTTCCCTTTCTCCCCTTTGTCTTCATGAACTGTAGTGAAACAGTAAGACTGCAAATACAGGATTCGTGTGGGCAAATTTGTTGAACTGTTCAAAGGATTTAGATTAGGTCCTTGAACAGAAATGCCTGGGTTACAGCCAGCTTAGGTCACTAGCCTCAAAATCGAACAGAAGGACTTTTCCTAGGGGGAGGGAGAGAATTGAAGAGACCAAGGAGAAAGGAGGAAGCAGATGTACAGGAAGAGCATCTGGTTCACCACAGGAATTAAACGTGAAAAGAGCTGAGGAAACAAGGACATGTATTACTAATGCTTGTTACACTTACTATGTATTACTAATTACTTGTTCTAATATGATATCACCTCCTCTGACTCCTCTGCCATTTTGTGTTCAGTCACTGTTCAATACTATCTTCCATTCAGTGGTCAAAGTCCTGGACTATAATGAAATCAATCTCTCTCTCTCTCTCTCTCTCTCTCTCTCTGTCTCTGTCTCTGTCTCTGTCTCTCTCTCTCTGTCTCTCTCTCTCTCTCTCTCTCTCTCTCCCCCATCCCTATCCCTAATTCTAACACACACATACAATCATCATGTTCAAGTACTATCCCAAGAAATAAGCAATTGTTGGACAGAAAGGAAGAGTTAAGCTAATAAACCTAAGTAGCAAAGGTAATTTCACATGTTTTATCTAGGCATCTGCCTTGAAACATTGTGCCAAGTTCACATTAAGTACACACATTGGTGTTGAGTGATGCCTACAAAGCTAAGAAATACAATTAGGTATTAGATTAGATTAGATTAGATTAGAGTAAGGAAAAGGAAGAACAGAGGGGAAGAAAGGAAGGGAAAAAAATCTAGAGTAGGAGAGAAAAAAAGTGAAGACAGAAGAAAAAATAATTTTATGTGACAGTTGTTTCAATGACCAACCCATCTAGGTTGCCTGGTCTATCTTTATGTTAGGAGCAACCTTGCATCTCTTTTAAGCAGCATTCACCTGTACTGAAATGCACTAGTTTATCCTTCCCTCAATTGACATGTTGCATGTATGTAAACATAAGTACATACACAATTAATAACCCAGTTAATAGACTTGAAAAATAAAACAAACCTTAACAGATTCTGAGAATTGCACAATACATGGAAAAACAGAGCACTTAAGTAATTTCAAAGGTTTTTATATGTACATACCTCCACAAATTTCTTCTGTTTCATCATCTATGCATTCTCGGTCATCACACTCACAAAATTTACCATAAACTAGTCCATTTCCTTCTGAATTATCACACTTACATCTGCCACAGTGACATGTACCTAAAAACATTAAAGAAAATGAAAGATATGTGCTTAGTTTTTGTCAATTTTGAGTGGTCGTTTTGCATTTTCCTCCTCTCAAGAAGATATAAAATCCCAAACCAATTACTGCAATGTTCCCACTCCAAATTGCCATGTCTATCCATCTATCCAACCATTCCTCTAGTAAACAAATACTATAATTGGCAGCTAGACGATAGATTAATTCTCATAGTGAATAACAAAGTGAATATAAAGAATAGTATTGCATTACAAAAAAACAAGAAAAATATTGGCATGTCTAAATATAAGTTTAACCGATAAGAATCATGTGTAATGCCAATAATATGCTAAATAACAAAACATTAGTATTGTGGAAGGAGAACTCATATCTAGTTTGGATAGATGGGAAGACTGGAGGAAAAATTATTAGTGCTACATGGAAGAGATACCATCTGGCAATTGACGAGAGGAATTCCCAAAGTGACATGTGCAAAAAAAAAAAAATCATGAAAGCAAAATAGTTCAAGACTTGTTTAGGGAACAACACAAGGAAGCTAGGTGGCACCATAGTGCATAGAGTGCCAGGCCTGGAGTCGGGAAAACATCTTCCTGAGTTCAAATCTGGCCTCAGAACTTCATAGCTATATGACGTCAGGTAAGTCATGTACCCGTATTTGCCTCAGTTTCCTCATCTGTAAAATGAGCCAGAGAAGGAAACAGCAAACCACTCCAGTAACTTTGTGAAGAAAACCCCAAAAAGGGGTCACGGAGAGTCAGACATGACTGAAAAACATGACTAAACAACAAGCAAATAGTAAGCACCTAAAATGCTTTTTCATTCATTCATTCATTCAGTGTAGGTTTTTAGAGAGTAAGGGGCCTTAAATATAATTCTCCAGATAAATATACTGAGGCATAGTGTGGTAAAATTACATTTTCAAGGTCATACAGGTATTAAATAGCATAGGTGAGATTTGTGCCCTGATCTCTTTGCTGTTCCAGTTCTCATTCCATTTAAACAATTCAAAAATGTGGAATTATTGAGTTGATTAGAAGAATGTTAGTGCTGGGAACAAAATGGTAATAAAGAGTTTCTAACAAGAAAATGATAAAGTGGCATTTGAGATTCCAGTAGAGATATATATGTGGAAAAGTCCAGCCAGCCATTGGAAATGAGGGCCTGGAATTAATGCTCAAGGTAAATATTTGGGAATATCAGTGACAATACAAAGTAACGCAGAGCCAATGAAATCCCCTTCCTGAGACAATGACAATTCACTCTGGACATGACCCTAAGAGCTATCCATTAGTTCTAATCAGAAATTTAGCTCCCATGTACCTTGTCACAGCTTAATCCACACAAAGCAAGTTGTAGGAATCAAAGAACCTGTGACAAGGTCCCAACCATGAGTCAGAAAGGGTTCTGCCAATACACAAAGGCCCCCAGAATGCTGACAAAATCACCACTTTCATATTGAATACCTTGTTTTCTACACAAGACCAGTATGTGATTCTGGCTGATGATATGGCCAGCACAGGGAAATAAAGGGTGGGTGATTTTGTTTATACTGGTAAAGACCACTCAAGTCAGCAGGAACTGCAAGTGTTTCCTGTCACCCAGTTTTGGTAATGAGTCTTAACAGCTTTTTCATCAATCTCTGAGGAATGTTTTCAAATGCCTTCTAAACATTATGATGTATTTTTGTCAAAACAAAACAAAACACCTACATCCCTTTCTGTTCCTGTAGTTACTACAATTTTTTTTCCCTAAGTTTTACAACCAGGTCAGGTGAAACATGCATCAGTCTGAAATGGCTATGGATCTAATTGATGTTAAGGTAGATATCTAAAGCATTCTCCATCTGTAACAGAGAAAATAATTAAGTCAGTTTACATAAATCCCTCCTAAAAGATTTAATTCAGCATTGAAACTTCTCTTTGGCAATTTACATAAGATGTTGCCGAGGTTTTGTTTCCAGTGAATATCCTGTATGAAGAAAGCATTTGGAACAGCTGGAGTACATGTCAATCTTGTGAGCTTCAGCAAGATGACATTTTTTTCCCTATTGATTTATCTGAATTTCATTTCAGGAAAATACATTCTTACTCAGTGCTTCAGCATTTCTCCACAGCTACACACTTCCATTGAAAGACCCAAAGCTGAACATTTTACTCAAAACGTAATTAGCACAGTCTTTAAGTTAACAGGGGGGGAAAGATTAAATTCATAAGGAAAAAAAAAAATTCTTACCTGCATTCGAACAGATGGTATCTTGAGAATTCTTACACATCTGATTACTTTTTTTCTTTGTAAGGTTGCAATTAGTTGGATATTGGCAAGCTTCACCATACCATCCTTCATCACACTTACACTTGCCACAGTCACACTTTCCATGGCCTAGGAATTCAACAAAGTAGTATCCAATTAACATAATAACATAAATCAGGGAAAATAAACACGCTAAGGGTACATGAGTACCAAACAGAAACAGCTCTGGTGGGTCTTTCTATTTACTGCTCCTAAGGCTTTCTATCAATATTGGGCAAAATGTTTCTTTCATATAGCTCATTTTAAATAAATTACTATAAGTAGGCCATAGTGAGTTTATCAAGAAACCTCAGGATATGTGACAAAACAATATACCAATAATCTTTGCAGATTTTTCGTTGAAAACTGAAATGTTTATTCATTTTATAGTATTTGTACAGCTAAATTCAAAGTCATATCTGTGTCTATTAAATATAGATAATAATTGATATTAATTCTCAATATAAAAAAAAAAGACTTATACCCTGATACTATTCTTAATGTGGAATTCCTTTCACTCACCCTGCACTGTGCAAAGTCCCTGGAATATAGTAGGTGCTTAATGAATACTTGTTGATAGATTGTTAGTTGTCATTTAATTGTAGTTGGAAGAATGTTTTTTCCCCACAAAGGTCCTATGCTGATGCTTCATTAAAGCTTGGAGGTGGCTGTATTCTTAAAGATTATGTTAGGGGAGGACGAGTTCTGATGCTGGAAAAACTTTAAGTTGGAGTCCAGTGATCCACCACACATTAGTCTTCTTGAGAGCAGCCTAGCTAAGTTTGGAGAAGCTCATCACTAGGTTTACCCCTAGGGGGTGTGGGTGTGGGTGTGGGTGTGTGTGTGTGTGTGGGTGTGGGTGTGTGTGTGTGGGTGTGGGTGTGTGTGGGTGTGTGTGGGTGTGTGTGTGGGTGTGTGTGTTTCCTTTTTGGCCAAAGAAACTGTTGAAAACTATTATGTTATAGAAAGAATGAGGATCAGTCATCTTATTGGAGTATGCATACTTTCTGCACCAACATATATCATAAAGTATTGACATATTACAGATAAAACTAAAAGCTTTTTTTTAAACATTTTTTTTTATAAATCAAAAGACTTCACTGATTTATTAAGGTATTCACCATTCTTTTCAAAGGAATTACCAAAAATTCATGATTTTTTTCCTAGGGAGTGTACAATGAATGACCTTTCTTACAACTATGGCTATCATTTGAGTCCTTGCTTGGCTGAAGTTTTATTTCTCATAAACCATTCAACAGACAAGTACAAGCTGGGTATTATCACAATGTCCAATTAAGTTGGGCACCATAAGGATCCAGAAGTATATGGAAGAAAGGAAGGAAAAAAAGCTTTTCTTAAGGGCCTACTATACACCAAGCACTGTTCTAAGGGCTTTACAAATATTATTTTTACTGATCTCAATAATCCTGGGAAGGAGGTGTTATTATTATTTCCACTTTACATTTGAGGAAACTGAGGCAAAGAGGTTAAATGACTCGCCTATGGTCACACAGCTAGTAAGTGTCTGAGGCTGGATTTGAAAGTCTGAGGTCCAGTACTGTATCCACTATACCACCTAGCTGCCTCTGTCTCTTATCTTCAAGGAACTAATAATCCAATTGGGAACACATGACACAATCATGAAACACTATAGTATTGTCATTAGCAACAGCAACAAATATTTAATAGAATCATAGGATCAGAGATTGAGAGATGGAAGTGACTTTTGACATCATTTAGTCTGACCTCTTCATTTTTACAGATCAGAAAACACACCCAGGAAGATTAAATGACTTGCCCAAGGTTACACAGAGTGGCAGGCAGTAGTCAAATTCCTATGATTCCAAGTTCAACACTCTTTCCATTAGAGAGAGACAGAGACAGAGAGACAGAAAGACAGAGACAGAAATACAAAGAGAGCCTATTATGTATTTTGTGTAGACACTGTGCTAACCCAAGTACAGCACTTTTTCCATTGCATCAAGATATTCTGTCTGTCTGTCTCTCTCTCTCTCTTTCCCCCCTTCTTTGTCTTTGACTCCTCCTCCTTCTTCCCTCTGTCTGTCTCATTTTCATCTCCATCACTCTTATTCCTCTGTTTTATTATGGATGAGAAGAGAGGCATCATAACGTTGTGGATAGAACTAATCTAGAATTGAGAGAGATAGAGACAGTCTAACATGCAGACACTGTGCTAACCTGAATGATTGGTTGAGTACTATACAAAACTATGCCCAACCAGGATATTGAGTTTATAGAGAATGTAAGTTCTGTAATAGATCAAAGAGAAGAGAGATATCAGGACCACTAGAATACTCAAGGAAGGTTTCTTTGAGGTGGTAGGATTTCAGATGAGCCTTGGGGGATAAATGGAAGAATAGGATTTGCATAGCTGGAAGGGAAAGCAATTATTTTCCCAAAATTCTCTATAAGAAAGCTATGTATTCCCCCCACACCTAGCATAGAGCCTTGCTTACAGCAGATTCAATTAAAATATTTATTAAGCACCTACTGTGTGTCAGAATCTGTGGCTGGGGATATAAATAATAATAATAATAAAAAGAGATAGCTCCTGCCCTCAAGGAGCTAACAATCTAACAGAGAAGGATAACACATAAAAGAAAGCTGAAAGGCAAGATATCAGATGGTAATCAGTATAGGGCTGTGGTGTTCCTTGGTTCCATTAAGTCAAGCTGAGTTGCTGATGATAAATGGATTTACCTGGAAACTTTTAAGCACTCCATAAAAGACAACTTTGGGAGGGATTTAATGCTTCACTCTTCAATGAGAGGGAAGAGGCAACTAAAGGTGAGTTGAAAAAGATGTTGAGTATGAAAGCCTGAGTTAAACTGCATGGAGATAAGATTTCAGGTGATCAACTTATTCTGTCTATGTAATAAAACTTAATTCATAGAACTACAGCTGATGTCTCACTAGTGCCAAAGAGAAAAAAAAGCACTGCTTCCTTCCTAGTGCTTTGCAATCAGTGAGTAATCAAAGATTTGATTGACTATATATAACATGAAAGTTGATTCTTTTCTCCAAAGCCAATTACCTTTCATAATCTCTCAAAGATGTCTGTCCATATATTTAAAATAAACAGACCATGGCACAACAGAGTCATTTCCTGTTTGGCAATCTGGGCACTCAGATGCACCATAGACAAATCTATCACAGAGTGATCCAGATTGATCAGCCAAGATAAATGGTTAAGATCTGTCACAGTCCATTAGTCTGGCCATAAACAGACACAGCATGAGTATGTGTTCCACTCTGTCTCTCAGCAATGTTCTTCCATATGCCATATTTCGTGTAGCCAGTTCCTAATCGTACAGCATTTGTGGAATTAATTATCCTGTCTTAAATAGAGAGTATTGCATATGCCCTTATTGAAATTCATCTCATTTGAAGCAGACTACTCCTCCAAGTTGTTTATATCATTTTCAATTCCAGTCCTGCCCTCCAGAGTGCAAGCAATCCCCGCCAACTTGGTATCATCAACAAACATAAGTGCTCTCTCTACTCAACCGTCCAATCTATTTATTAAAATGTTAAGCCAAATTCTTAGAGTGCCTAAACTCCTCTTGGTTGTAAATTAGCAACTTCGATGCTGTGTTAGTACTTTCAGGACATTTAAACACAATATTTCTTTGATATAATAACCAGGAGCAATCAGAGGTGAAACAGAAGGGTTACTTTAGTCATCACAATCAAAGGGGGCTTCAGATTTAGTGAGTAATGGATTATGACTCCTCAATTCTGAGGATAAGCATTTCTGGGTCTTGTCTTAGTCAATTTCAACTCTGATCTTGCATTACAGTTGGGATTTCTCCCTTAGAGAGAAAAAAAGTTTACACAAGATTTGTTAAATTTATATTGCACACATTCAATATGCACACATATTTGAATTGTGTCAAATTTTTGGTTTTCTATTCTGTTTTCATATATTTTCATTTTAAAAAGATTTAGCCTATACTATTATAGTAGCTTCCTAACTGGTATCTGTGCCTCAAATCCCATCCCACTCTAATCATTCCTCCATTCCACCACTAAACTGTTTTTTTTTTTTTTGTGTTTTGTTTTGTTTGTTTGTTTTTAAGCAGAGGTCTGACTGTCAACCCCTACTGAAAGGATTCCAATGGCTCCCTATTCCAAGACCAAATATAATGTCTTCTGAATGGCATTTAAAGCTCTTCATAACCTGGCTCCTTTTTAGCTTTCCAGTCCTATTACTCTTTAATAACCTCCAGGTACTCCATGCCCCAGCAACACAAGTCTACTTGTTGTTCACATGGCATGACCTTTAATCTATCATCTCCATGCCTTTGCCCTAGCTCTTACCTCTGTCTAGAAGATTCTGTCCCCTCACGTCCTCCTTTTAGTTTCTCCATCTTCGACATTCAGTTCAAATCCTACCTTCTGCTGGAGGCCTTTCCTGGTCCTCTTGGTTGCTAGGGGCTTTCCTACTCATATTACCTTCCCAAAAACGTTTATTAAAAGCTTAGTATGTACCAGGCATGATGCTAAGTGTTAGTGCCATAAAGAAAGGCAAAAGAAAGTCTCTGCCCTCGAGGTACTCTCAGCTCACACAGAGAGACAGTATGCAAACAACTCTGAACAAGCAAGCTATTTACAGAATAAATTGGAGCCAGTCAACAGAGGGAAGGCCTTGAATTAGGGGGACTGGGAAAGGCTTCCTACCAAAGGTAGGTCTCAAGGTGGAACTTGAAAGAAGACAGGAAAACCAGGAGGTCTACATGAAGTGGAACCGAACTCTAGGCATGCGGTAAAGTCAATAAAAATACTCAGAATTTGGAGATGGAGTGTTTTGTTCAAGGGATGACAAGAAGTCAACTGCCACTGCATCACAGTGTATATGGTGGGGGTGAGGACTAAGGTACAAGAAAAATGGAATGGTAGGAAGGGCCAAGGTTATGAAGGACCTCAAATATCAAGTATAGTGTATATCTTTTATGTGTCTAATTTTTTACATATTATTTCCCCCCCAATTTGAGTTTAAGCTACTTGATGGCAGGGTCATTTTCATCTTTCTTTATATTCCTAAAGTTTAGGACAGTGCCTCACACATA